TGGTCGTTCGTGGGGCTTGAACTCCAGACCTGGGCGCTGTCCCTGAGCTCTTCAGCTCAAGGCTACCACTTTACCACTTGAGCCACAGCGCCATTTCCAGTTTCCTGGTGGATCACTGGAGATAAGAGTCTCATGGACTTTGCTGCCCAGGCTGGCTTTGAACCTGATCCTCAGATCTCAGCCTTCTGAGTAGCTAGGATTACAGATGTGAACCACCAGTGCCCCGCTTCAGTAACCCATCTTGAAATTTAGGGAGGTTAGTGTCCTGCACTTGGCATTCACAAAATGTCTACTAAATAAGGAAATGAGGTTAAAAAAAATTCTGAGCCTAGCACTGATGGCTCATGCCTGTAATCTGAAGATCATCGTTCAAAGCCAGCCTGAATAGGAAAGTCCATGAGACTCTTATCCAGTTAATCACCAAAAAAAGCTGGAAATGGAGTTGTGGCTCAAGTGTTAGCAGTGAGAACAAAAGCTCAGAGAATGTGCCTGGACCCTAGTTTATCCCTCAGGACCAACATTAAAAAACAAAAACAAAAACTGAGTTCCAGTGGTTTATGCTTGTAATTCTAGCTACTTAGGAGGTTGAGATGGAAGAATCTCAGTTCAAAGCCAGCCCAGGAAGCAAAGTCTATGAGACTTTTATTGTCAATTAGACAACAAAAAGCCAGAAGTTGCTCATGATTGTAATCCCAGCTACTCAGGAAGCTGAGATCTGAGGATTGAAGTTCCAAGCCAGCCAGGGCAGGAAAGTCCATGAGACTCTTTATCTCCAATTAAGCACCAAAAAGCTGAAAATGGAGCTGTGACTCAAATAGTAGATCTAGATTTGAGTACAAAAGCTCAGAGATAGCACCCAGGCCCTGAGTTCAAGCTTACGGCTGGCACGTGCACATGCGTGTACACGTACACACACACACACACACACACACACACACACACACACACACACACACGGGAAGGAAGAGATGGAATAGATTGAGGCTACCAAGGGCTAAGAAGAAGAGAGCAAAACTGAGAGTTATTCCTTAATGGGTGCTGAGTTTCTATGTAGGGTAATAAATTTTGGAAAGAAGTTGTGATGAATACTACTACTATTTATCTTTTTGTCAGTTGTGGGGCTTGAACTTAGGGCCTGGGTGCTGTCCCTAAGCTTTTTTGCTCAAGTCTAGCACTCTACAACTTTGAGTCACAACTCCACTTTCAGTTTTCTTGTGGTTAATTGGAGATAAAGAGTCTCTCCAGCTTTCCTCTCCAGGCTGGCTTTGAACTATGATTCTCAGATCTCAGCCTCCTGAGTAGCTTGGATTACACGCATGAGCTACCAGTGCCCAATGTGAGACCATTAATAATGACATTTAATTGTATACTCTGAAATAGTTAAAATAGTCACTTTTGCCAAAGCAACTACATTTACACATATTTCATCACCAGAAAAAGTCTTCCTTACAGTCATGGAAAGTGCCTAAGAATTAGCTAAGAGATTTTCAAAAACCTTCTCTTACTTATGAGAAAGATAGAAATAATTGAATTTTATAATTAAATACAGAAATGGCGGGGTGGGGGGTAGAAAAGTGGCTCAGTGGTAGAGCGCTTGCCTTGTATGCATGAGGCTTGGGTTCCATTCTTCAGCACCACGTAAGCAGAAAAAGCTGGAAGTGGTGCTGTGACTCAAATGGTAGAGCTCTAGCCTTGAGCTAAAGAGCTGAGGGACAGCGCCCAGGCCAAGAGTTCAGGCCCAACAACCGACAAAATAAAAATAAATAAATAAATACATACAGAAATGGTGGGTCTGAGCAACTACTGAACATTTCTTCTTCTTTTCAGTGGAACTAGGACTCAACCTCAGGGCCTCAAGCATACTAGGCTGGTACTCTACTACCACAAACACTATTTCTTTCCTGTTAAATTCTAGTAGAGCCTGGCATTGGTGGCTCACGCCTATAGTCCTAGCTACTTAGGAGGCTGAGATCTGAGGATTACAGTCAAAGCCAGCCCAGGTAGGAAAGTCTGTGCGACTCATATTTCCAATTAACTATCAAAAAGCTGGAAATGGTGCTGATGGCTCAAAGTGGTAAAGCACTAGGCCTTGAGCACAGAAGCCCAGGAACAGTGCCCAGACCCTGAGTTCAAGCCCTAGAACTACCACCTCTACCCTCCCCCCAAAAAAAGAAAAGAAAGAAAAAAGAAAATTCCTAAATTCTCCTGGAACAGTGGAATTAGTGGAGACTCTTTATATTGCAACAGTAGGAGGGGAAAGAGGCCCAAAAGTGATTGGAAATAAATATGACAGAAGTACTATACACATAGCTAAATGTCATAACCACACATATTAAAAAATTTGGAAAAGGGAAAAAAGAGAATTGAAAATACACAACAATAAACAGGAGACAGGATGACATTTTGTCTATCCACTGAATGTGATAATTGGTGAAAAGCAAGCAGAGCTTTGAGTCCTGAAGCTGGCTTTGTCCCTTACCTTGCCATTAAGAACAATATTCTGGCTTCCACACAACACTGACTGGCGACTCACTTTATTTCCAGAGGCCTGAAAGGAAACAGAAAACTGGGGTGAGCAAAGTGGGCTATAGTTTTCCACCAAGTAAGCTCATACTGGAAAGGAAATAATTCGACATGGAATATAGTCTAAAATGGAATAACGCTGGGTCTTGGTAACTCACACCTATAAATCCTAGCTACTTAGGAAGCTGAGGTCTGGAGATCACAATTCAAAGCAATTCCTGGCCAAAAAACAAAAACAAAACTCTGTGAGAAGCATCTCTAATTAAGTAACAAAAATAATGGTAGTGGACACGTAGCTCAGCTGGTAGAGGGACAGCCTTGAGAAAAAAGCCAAGCAATAAGAGGCCCTGAGTTTAAGCCTCAGTACCAACATACACATTATTCAGTGGTAGAGTGCTTCCTTAACATGCATGCATACACAGTGCACACAGAAGCACACATGCAGAGTAAATTGGAATGAATCCAGGATCTCAAAAAAGCAAGGATGGATTAGGAAATCAAAGATCAGGGCTGGGAATGTGACTTAGTGCTAGAGTGCTTGCCTAGCATGCATGAAGCCCTGGGTTTGATTCCTCATTACACCACATAAACAGAAAAAGCCAGAAGCGGTACTGTGTGTCGCTCAAGTGGTAGAGTGCTAGCCTTGAGCAAAAGAAGCTCAGGGACAGTACCCAGGTCCTGAATTCAGGCCCCAGGACTGGCAAAAAAAAAAAAAAAATTAGCAACAGGCTGGTGCAAGTGAGTGAAGCCTGTAACCTTAGTAACTCAGAAGACTGAGATGTGGACAATCTTAGTTCTATGACAGGCTAGGCAAAAAAGTTCACTACTACATTCTATCTCCAAAACAATCTGCAAAAAAAGCAGGGCTTTGCAGACATGGCTCCAGTGATAGAACATCACAGCAAGCACTAGGTGAGGCCTTGAATTCAAAATTTGATACTAGCAAACAAAAACAACAGAACAATAGAATGAAACAAAAATTCAGGGAATGGGATCCCGAATTTGTATGTGGCAGGCCTATAGCTTAGTGGCATATCCTGGTTCCATCCTGTTTTACATCCCTAGAATGAGGGTAACAACTTTAATATTATGTGTTGTGAGATTACAACAGAAAAAAATAACCTCAAATGTACACTTACTCTGCTTCCTGATTTTGTGTGTGTATATGTGCCAGTCCTGGAGCTTGAACTAAGGACCAGGGTGCCCTCCCTTAGCTTTTTCACTCAAGGCTGGTGCTGTGCCACCTGAGCCACATTGCCACTTTTTGGTAATTAATTGGAGATAAGAATCTCATGTGCTTTCCTGCCTGGGCTGGCTTCAAACCGCAATCCTCAGATCTCAGCTTCCTGAGTAGCTTACAGACATGAGCTATTGGCACCTGCTATTTGCAGAATTTTACACACATATTATGTGGGCTATAATATTATATATAGTATGTACATGTATATATACTACTACATGTGTAATATGCATAATTATATAGAACATGTATAACTATGAATATGTATGCTATATAGTATGTACATAGCATATCTGTAGATATGTATATAAATACTGCATGCAGTAGACATACCACTACATATATGATATATATAATTACATCATGTACAACTATGAATATATATGCTATATAGTAAATACATAACATATACATATACTCATAATTACATATATATAAGTAGACAATTTCATTTAGCTACATATACTATATATGTAGTAGCTTATGTACAATTATAGTATAAATACATGTATACACAAGGAACATTACACATGTTACATATAAATATGTAATGTTTTAGATATTGTTTACATATTACGTGTTTATATATTATAGTAACAACGTATCACACATATATATATGCACACATATATGCTAAATGAGCACAAAACGTTTAAAAGCTAGTTTTAAAAGGGCCTGAAGTTATCATCACTAGTGGATACTATATGGTCCAGTTCCCGGGACAGCATTTCATTCCAGCACAAACATCCGGAACCTACACAAAAAGCCAGACCTCATCCGCCAGCGACTAAACAACCACCTCGGACGCCCCACGGGGCTCTAGGCTACCCGGACCACGCGTGGGGGGGACCCCGGGAAGGGTGGGGAGGGGACAGGATGGGGTTCCCGCCAGGCCTCGAAAGGCCGCAGACTCCGCCAGGGCAGGGCAGGGCTCTCCGGTACCGTCTCGATGTATTCTGACTTGTTGTAGAGCTGCTCACTCAGCTCCATGGCCGCTGCCCCAGCCTCTCAGCACCGGGGGATGCTGTCAACACCAGGGTCGCTGAGATTCCGGCTACTTCCGGCTGTTCCTTCACTTCCGCTCCCATCGATCGCTCGGCTTTCCTCTATACGGCCCTGCGCCGGTACTCGGCGATCCCCCGGCTGTGCCTACGCAGACCCAGCGGAGGCTTTGATTGGCTGAGGGCTTTTTGGCGCGCTGGGCCGGCGTGGGCCGGCTTGTTGTGCGCTGCGAGGACCTGCTCTGGGTCACCCGCTTCCCTGACGGGGTGCGTGCGGGGTGCACGCGGGGTGCACGCGGGGTCCGCAGGCCTGGGAGCTGGAGTTCGGCCTGCAACCCCATGGACCAGGTTCCCGGGAAGTCGCTGAGCTGTGCGGAGAAGGAACAGGTGCTGCGGGGAGGGCCGGCGCGGGACCCGAACCTCCTTCCTGGGGACTTGAGGCTGGCCCTTGTCTCCTCAGCGGCCCGAGGGCAGCAGTGCCTGCGGCCGACCGTCCTCTGAGGGCCGCGGGGCACCGGCAGTGCGCGTGTGCCAGAGGCGCAGGGCCAGTGAGATGGCGTTTGCCAAACAAAATTAGCCACGTGAAGTTCACAATTGCAATGCAGAAGTACCAAGTGTAGAACTTTGAAGACTAGGTGAAGATCCTGACGCGCTTTCCCCGAGCCCCCAGTCTTGAGGAAACCCCTCAAAACGTTGGTTTTTGTTTTGTGCCGTTTATTTGCTCCAGGTTAGCACATTACCATTTGAGTCACGCCTCCGGCTCGGGCTTTTTGGTGGTTAATTGGAGATTAAAAAAAAAAAAAGTCTCACAGACTTTTCTGCCCGAGCTAGCTTTGACTCTTTATCCTCAGATCTCAGCTTTAGGAATAGGCTTATCTGTTTCCTATCTGTAGGCTTCTCGGTATGTAATTTGTGGTAGCCATTCAGTATCTTTAGCATCTACACACCCCCAGTGAGCATCAGTTACTGTCCCAAGTGTTGAGATGTCTGCACCATTGACCCGCAAGATGTTTGTTGGCTGAGTTAGGGTCTCAAGGTGAGTGATGGGGAAAAGCAGACAACACAGTACAGTATGGTAAATGCTGGGATCAGGAGATTACACAGGAGGGCGGGAGTGTCTAATGTGGACTTGGAGAAGAGTCTTGAAAGTCTTACCTCAGGAAGATGAGGCCAGGTGCTGGTGGCTCTTAGCTACCCAAGAGGCTGAGCTCTGAGGATTAAGGTTCAAAGCCAGCCAGAGAGGAAAGTTCATGGGACTCTTAACCTCTAGTTAACCACCTGGGACAGTACCCAAGCCTTGAGTTCAAACCCCAGAACTGTCACACACCCAACAAAAATCTTGAGGTGAGGCTTAGAGCGTCTTTTAAGAATTGGCAAGGTAGGAAGTGCTCCAAGTACAGGAACAGTTTATGCCAAGTTCCTGAGAGGAAAACTTGCTTTTTGAGCACCAAGAGTGAGTTTGTATAGATCAGTGCCTCCTCCTCACCACTCTCAGTCTTGCCTCTGGTTCTGGAACGGCATACTCAGGTCTGATACCTGTTTCCTGTCCCTGATTCCAGCTTTTCACAGTTAAATATTCTTGCTGTTTTTCTTTCAGCTGGAGGAAAAACTTGCACTTTTGAAAAAGGAATACAGGAGAACTCTGGCCCGCCTCCAGGTAGGTGAATCATCTTTTCAAAGGTGATGTGCAACCTATATAAAAACATTTCTGACCAGGCACCAGTGGCTCATGCCTGTAATTTTATTTTTCTTTTCTGCCGGTTCTGAGGCTTGAACTTAGGGCCTGGGCGCTGTCCCTGAGCCTCTTTATACTCAAGGCTAGTGTTCTACCACTTGAGCCACAGCGCCAACTTCCGGCTTTTTCTGAGTAGTTTATTAGAGAGAAGAGTCTCGCAGACTTTTCAAACGGTGATCCTCAGATGTCAGCCTTCTGAGTAGTTAGCATTATAGGCATGAGCAAGCAGTGCCCTGCTTTACCCCTGTAATTCTAACTACTCAGGAGGCGAGATCTGAGAAACATGGTTTTAAGCTAGCCTGGGCAGAAAAGTCTGTGAGGCTCTCAGTTCCACTTAACTACCAAAAAGCCATAAGTGGAGCTGTGACTTAAGTGATAGAGTGCCATCCTTGAGTGAAAAAAGCTAAGAGGTAATGCCGAGGCCCTGAACTCAAGCCTCAGTACTGGAACAAAAAAAAAAAAAGATCTGTAGACAAGATAGCTTTAAAAACAGTTCATGGAGTTGGGGCTATATATGCTCATTGGTAGAGCAGTTGTTTAACATGCACAAGATCCAGCACCACAAAAAAGAAAAAAAAAAGACGGAAAGAAGACAGAAAAAAAGGGAGGAAAAATAAACGTATTTCTTGCATATCCTTGGTTTTCTGTAGCGTGCCCAAAGAGCTGAGAAGATTAAGAATTCTGTTAAGAAAACAGCAAGACAAGATGGCTTTCCAGAACAGCGAATCACATCACAATCAATGCATTCAGGTAAACCTAACCTGCCTGCTCAGACTGACTTTAGTGTTTAGTTTCCAGGTGCCTGAGGCCCCTGTTCTAGGAACAGTAGACTTTGTAATTGATGTGAACTTTATGCCTTATAAAATTCAAGCAAGCCTAATACCACTTTTTGACTAATGAATAATGCTATATGAACATCCATATACACATTTCTCAGACTTTTCTGGATATGTATATTTTCTATTAGAAAAAAAAATTTTTTTTTGGCTAGTCATAGGGCCTGAACTCTGGGCCTGGGCACTGTCCCTCAGCTCTTCAGTTCAAGGCTAGTGCTCTACCACTCGAACCATAGTGCCACTTCTGGCTTTTTCTGCTTATGTGGTGCTGAGGAATCGAACCAGGGCCTCATGCATGCACGGCAAGCACTCTACCACTGAGCCACCTTCCCAGCCCTAAAAAGATTTTTTTTTAAACTGGTACTTGAGCTTGAACCCAGGGCCTTATGCTCCTGTCTGGCATTTTTGCGCAAGCCTGGCATTCTTGAACTGCCCCTCCACTTCCAGCTATCTGTCTGGGCTGGTTTTCATCTTGATTCTTAGATCTCAGCCTCCTGAGTAGCTAGAATTATAGGTGAGAACCACTGGTTCCTAGCTTTGTGTTTTTGGTGGTTTTTTTTTGTTGTTGTTGTTTTTTGTCGATTGTGGGTCTTGAACTCTGAGCCTGGGCACTGTCCCTCAGCTCTTCAGCTCAAGGCTAGCACTCTACCACTTGAGCCCCAGTGGCTTATTGGACATGAGAGTCTTATGGACTTTCCTGACTTGGCTGGCTTTGAACTGTGATCCTCAGATCTCAGCCTCCTGAGAAGCTAGGATTGCAGGTGTGACCCACCAGCACCCGGCAGCTTTGTTTTGTTTTGTTTTTGTTGGTTGTGGGGCTTGAACTCAGGGCCTGGGCACTGTCACTGAGCTCTTTCGCTCAAGGCTAGGGCTCTACCACTTTGAACCACAGCTCCACTTGTTTTCTGGTGGTGAATTGGAGATAAGATTCTCATGGACTTTCCTACCAGGGCTGGCTTTAAAATACAATTCACAGATCACAGCCTCCTGAGTAGCTAGGATTACAGGTGTGAACCACCAGCACCTGGGCCCAGCTTCGTTTTTTGTATTTTTGATTCTTTACGACTAATCCTAAAAGTAGATTTACTGGGTCAGACTAATCCTAAAAGTAGATTTACTGGGTCATACAGTTAATTCTGTTTTGTTTGGCTTTTGTGTGTTTTGTTATTGTTGTGTGGTGTGATAGCCCAGAATTGCCTCAAACTTTCTCAGTCATTGTCTTAGCCTCTCATGGCTGGTTTAATATTGAGAAACTGTCAAATTGTTTACCACACAAGCTATACCATTTTACATTCCCAGCAGTGATCCATAATGTTCTAGCTTCTCCATACCCTCATTAACACTTGTAATTTACCTTTTGCAAATTTGTGTGCGTGCGTGCGTGTGTATGTGTGTGTGTGTGTGTGTGTGTGTGTACGTACGTACGTACCAGGGCTTGAACTTAGACTTCATATTCTCATTCAGCACGACTGACAAAAAAAAAAAGCCAATCCCTTTACCACTGAGCTATACCTCCAGCCTTTTTTTTTTTTTTTAAAGGTATAACTACCTTTCTGGGCATCAGTGGCTTATACCTATAATTGTAGCTACTCAGGAGACTTAAAAATCTGAGAATTTCAGTTCAAAGTGAGCCTGAGCTTCATAGAATCTCATGGAAAAGTCTGTGAAATTCTTACCTCTTACCTTTTAACTGGTAAAAAGCTAGAAGTGGAGCTGTGGCTCCAGTGGTAGAACAATTGAGCAAAAAAGCTAAGGGATAGCCCCTAATCCCTGAATTCAAGTCCTAGTACTGCACCAAAACTAAACATACAAAAGAAGGATAGCCATCCTAGTGAATGTTGGTTTCTAATTATGGTTTTCATTGTTTTTGCCAGTCGTGGGGCCTGAACTCTGGGCCTGGGCGCTGTCCCTCAGCTCTTCAGCTCAAGACTAGCGCTCTATCACTTGAGGCACAGCACCACTTCCAGCTTTTTCTGCTTATGTGGTACTGAGGATTCAAACCCAGGGCCTCATGCATGCAAGGCAAGCACTCTACCATTGAGCCGCCTTCCCAGCCCCTTATTGTATTTCTTAGTTAACTAGTAATGTTAAAAATCTTTTCATGTGCCACATGTGAATCTTTAGGAAAATGTTCATATCCTTTGTCCATTTGATTGTATTTTAACTGTTGAATTGTGAGTGTACTTAGTAATATCTAGGTACTAGAGTCTTAGAGAATATATGATTTGTTAACAATTATCTCTAGTTTTGTGATCAAAAATCACTCTCAATTGAGTTGTTTATTTAGTTGCTCCTCAAATTTTAGGAATTATACTTAATGTTTAAATACTAGAAATATTTTTTTTAATATGAATGCATATACAGTGAATACTAGAAATATTCTGAAATTAGGGATGTGCATTGTGTTTGTGTTGGTCAGTGGCAAAACCCTTGCCTAGCAGGAACAAGGCTCTGGATTCCATCTTTGGCACCAAAACAACAGGTCATTTCTGGGGTTAAAATTCAAGTAATTTGCAATCATACAATTAGGACTGCTAAGTGAGAAAATGATGTAAAGATTACCTGAGGAAAACAAAGGGCTGTGGCTGTGGTTGTGCAGCTCAGTGGTAGAACGCTTGCAATCCCCAATACTTCAGAGAGAAAAAAAAAAATGTGAGATAAAAAATTAGGTTGGGGATGCAGCTCATTGTAAAAGCTCCTGTGTTCAGTCTTAAGTACCAAAGGACATTAGGTAAGACTAAAAAATTAAGGTGCCAAGCATTGAGGTGTACACCTGTAATCCCAGTACTCAGGAGGCTGAAGCAAAAGGATCACAATTCGTTGGCCAGCCAAGTCTATATAATGAGTTGTCTCAAAAAGAGAAATAAAGAGGGTTGGGAATGTGGCTTAGTGGTAGATTGTTGCCTAGCATGCATGAAGCCCTGGGTTCAATTCCTCAGTATCACATAAGCAGAAAAGTGGCTCTGTGGCTCAAGTAATAGTGTGCTAGCCTTGAGCAAAAGAAGCTCAGGAATGGTGCCCAGGCCCTGAGTTCAAGCTCCAGAACTGAGGCACAGGGCGGGGGGTAAAAGGGGAGGAAATTAAGAGAAGATGCCTCAAGTATTGGTGAGGCATATTTGTAATCCTGGAGGCCCAGATCTGAGGATTGCAGTTCAAAGCCAGCCGAATCTGAAAAGTCCCCGGTGAGGCTCTCTTTTTTTTTTTCCCCCAGTTCTGGGGCTTGAATTTTGGGCTTGGGTGCTATCCCTCAGCTCTTCAGCTCAAGGCCAGCACTCTACCACTTGAGCCACAGCGCCACTTCCTGTTTTCTAGTGGTTTATTGGAGGTAAGAGTTTCATGGAGTTTCCTGCCCAGGCTGGCTTTGAACTGTGATCCTCAGATCTCAGCCTCCTGAGTGGCTAGGATTACAGGCGTGAGCCACCGGCGCCTGGCAAAAAAATTTTTTATAGACTTACATTTACTTAAAATTCTGTAACATTAATTTTTGGTTTCACTTTTTTTGCCAGTCCTGGGTCTTGAACTCAGGGCTAGGGCACTATCTCTGAGCTGCTTTTGCTCAAGGCTAGCTAGCACTCTACCACTTGAGTCTCAGCGTGACTTTTCTGTTTATGTGTTCCTAAGGAATCAAACCCAGGGCTTCATGCATGCTCGGCAAGCACTCTACCTTTAAGCCACATTCCAGCCCTTATTTTTTTATTCTTAAGTAAATGTTCAGTAGTTTGTTTATTATTGTGATGCTAGAGGACAGGGCTTCAAGCATATTAGGCAGGTTTTTGTCTTGGCTCTGCACTCCCAGCCTTACAATATTTTTAAACAAATATAAAACGTTTCTGTTCCATTTTGAAAGTAGCTAAGTACTTGTATGTGTGTTTGTGTATGTGTATGTTTGTGTGTATGTTTACATATAAGCATTAGGGACTGAGAGACATATATTTGTATTTCTTCAGAGCCTAAAAATGAAGGATGTTTTCATGACCGATTACAAATCAACACCCAGCTTACCGAAGAAACTGGAGAAAAGACATCTCTGACCTTTGTTGAGCCTAAGTCCTTTAACCCTAAAGATGGCTCAGAAGAAGGATTGCTTATACAAAATGCAGATGACATCCAAGAACATTTTCCCTATAAAGTGAGTGACCTTGATGGGAAGACCAGGCAGAATGAGCTGCCAGGAGAGAGACAAAAGAAGTCCAAAAGAATGTTTGCTTCTCAGGAGACAGAGTGTTCCTTTGACACTAATTCATTCATTGCTTCTGGAAAAAGCACTAGGAATCAGGACACAATCAATAGCAAAAATCCTTGTTCATCAGAAACAGTAATAAGTCATGAAGGTCACGGGGAACTTACTGCTCCAGCATTTCAAAACATTAGTCCTTCTCCACCCCTAGACATGCAGGCACAAGGCAGAAAGATATCCATCTGTACAGATGACCCAGTAGTAAATAACACAGTTGGTGCCCCCAGCCAACTGCCTAAAAGTCCTAACTTAGTGGCAGACAATTCATGTAGTAGAAATGAACTCGCTTACAGTAACTCAGCAGCAAATATAACCCAAGACTTAAAAGAACAAAGTCATCACACTGGAAACTCTTTAAAATCTCCTAGTAACACTATGGATAGTAGAGATCAGACTGTTCAGGAAAAGGAGGCTCTAAGCCAGTCTGAGAGTCTTACTCTGGAACCAGGCTCTCCTGCTTCTATAGAAATTCAAGCACATTCTTGCACAATGATTGAAGGCCTTCTGTTTCCTGCAGAATACTATGTTAGAACAACACGTCGCATGTCAGACAGCCAGAGGAAAATAGCTCTGGAAGCTGTGATTCAAAGTCACTTGGGTGTCAGAAAGAAAGGGTTTAAAAATAAAGAACAAGGAGCAAGTAAAAATGTAAAACTTTCTAGTGAAGCTGACCAAAGTGAAATCAGCATGTCAGACACAAGCTCAGGACTGTCAAGTTCAGGTCCTTCTCAGGAACCTCTGTCACAAAGTGAAGTCTGCTCTCCCTCAGCATCCGCTGAAAACAGCCACTGTCCTCGGAGGCCTGTCACCAAGTCATCTAGTAGAAGACACAGAGGAAAAAGGAAGTCAGCCCACACCTTGTCGCTAGATCAGTGTGAACAGCTTTTGCCATCTTCGAGCACATTTGGTGTAAAGTGGTTCAATTTTCACCAGAGTGAAAATGCAACAATTCATGGTAAGAAGAGAGTTAAGGTAAATCCAGATGGGGAGTGAGGAAAGCAGATTGATTCCTTGGTGCCCAGTACCTGTACATACTACACAGATACAAGCTAATTGTGTAGTCATAGCAGCATGCTAAATTAAAGTAGAAGCTTTTGGTTTGTGGGGGAGAGAGTTGTTGTTTTTGTGTCTGTCAGCACTGGGGCTTGAACTCAAGGTTAGCATTGTACCACTAGAGCTATGTCTCCACTTCTGATTTTTTGCTCTTTAATTGAAGATAAGTGTCTCAGGGATATTTCTGCACAGGCTGGCTTCAGACTGTAATCTCAGATTTCAAATCCCGGGAGGAGTTAGGATTATAGGTATCAACCACTGAACCCCAGCTTTGTGTTTGTTTTGTTTTTAATCAGCTTACATTAGTTACATGGGGAGGGGGGGCTTTCACTGTTACATTTCCACATGTTTACACTGTCCCAGTCAGCCTCACCTTCCCTATTGCTCCCTGTCCCTCTTCCCCTGGCATCTGTCTTTTTTTTTTTTTTTTGGTCTCTCCTGAGTCTTGAGCTCTGGGCATGGGCGCTGTCCCTGAGCCTTTTTGTGCTCAAGGCTAGCTCTCTACCACTTGAGCCACAGTGCCACTTCCTGTTTCTGGTGGTTAATGGAAGAGTCTAATGGATGTTTCTGCCCGGGCTGGCTTTAAACTGCAATCTTCAGATTTCAGCCTCCTGAGTAGCTAGAATTATAAGCTTGAGTCACTGGTGCCTGGCTTGGAATCTGTCTTTATACTCACTTTAAGATGTGATAAGGAACAAGTTGATTAAAATTACTTTGATTGGGGCTGGGAAGGTGGTTCAGTGGTAGAGTACTTGCCTTGCATGCATGAGGCCCTGGGTTCGATTCCTCAGCAGAAAAAGCCAGATGTGGCGCTGTGGCTCAAGTGGTAGAGCGCTAGCCTTGAGCTGAAGAGCTGAGGGAGCGCTCAGGCCCAGAGTTCAGGCCCCACAACCGACAAAAAAATAAAAATAAAATTACTTTCATTAACCTCATTAAAATGACAGAGCCAACACTGAAACCTGGTAGTTTCACTAAGGTAGTTGAAAAGGCACTGCAAAGGAAAATAATATTGGTTGCTTGCCAAAATTAAGAAAAGAGTCTTATCTTCAGGCAGAACCTTTTTTTTTAAGTCCTTTGTGGGGCTTGAACTCTGGGCCTGGGCACTGTCCCTGAGCTCTTCAGCTCAAAGCTAGCACTTTACCACTTGAGCTACAGCACCACTTCCAGTTTTCTGGTGTTTAATTGCCTAGGCTGGCTTTGAGTCACAATCCTCAGATCTCAGCCTCCTGAGTAGCTAGGATTACTACCACTGGTGCCTGGCCAGGTAAAATCTTTTAATGTAAGAAGAGTGTTTTGAAGTAACATGAAATAAGTTTGAAGTACACTGAAAAACTTGCTTGGAAGTGATCAGGTAATAAAAAGGGACGAGCAGCATTTTTAGATAAAACATCTAATACTCCCTGTGGTCTGTGGGATATAAGATTTTGGGGTAGCAAGTAAGAAAATGCTGTAATTTAAACTTCTTAATCATTTTCTTGGGAGCTAATTATATCTGATGAGTGAGTACAGAAACTTCATCATTGCTTGTGGCTTTGCGTGGGATTGGCAGATGTCCTGTGAAGGCCAGAGAGTAAATACTGCACTCTGGTCATTTGTCTCAACTACTCAGCTAAGCAGCCTAAGTAGCCACACACGTTTTGTAAATATGCTTGTGTTCCCATAGAACTCTTGTCCAGAAACAGACAGCAGCCTGCTTTGTACAGTGAACATAAGACTCCAGTCTTGGAGCTCTAGTTCAGTTAAAGATAACAATAGCCAAGTCTGGTGGCACATACCTATAATCTCAGCACTCAGGAGGCTGAGGCAGGAGGATTACCACTTTTAGGCCAGCCTGGGTTACCTAGATAGACCATGTCAAAAATCAGAAGTGCCATGCACTGGTGGCTCACGCCTGTAATCCTAGCTATTAAGGAAGCTGAGATCTGAGGATCACAGTTCAAAGTCAGCTGGGCAGGAAAGTCCTTGAGACTCCTATCTCCAATAAACCACCAGAAAACTGGAAGTGGTGCTGTGGCTCAAGTGGTAGAGTACTGAGGTGAAGAGCTTAGGGACAGGTCCAGAGTTCAAGCCTCACGATCGACAAAAAAAAAAAAATCAGGTGAACTGGTGCTAGTGGCTCATGCCTGTAATCCTAGCTACTCAGGAGGCTAAGACCTGAGGCTCACAGTTCAAAGCCACCCAGGGCAGGAACGTTTGTGAGATTCATCTCCAATTAACCAGCAGAAAACCAGAAGTGGTGCTGTAGCTCAAAGTTGTAGAGCACTAGCCTTGAGCAAAAGAACTCAGGGACAGCGCCCACACCCTGAATTCAAGTTCTGTGACCAACAACAACAAAAATCACAAGTGGACTGGGAGCGTGGCTCAAGTGGTAGAGTACCTGCCTAACAAGCACAAGACTGAGTTCAAACTTCTGTACCACAAAAATAGTTAATAAAATTTTAAGCCACAGATGACAAAACACCAGTGGCTGGCTCACACCTATAATCCTAGGCTAACAACTTGAAGATCACAGTTCAAGGTCAGCCAGTTTGCAAGACCCCTTCTCTATTCTTAACTGGATACAATGGCTTGCGCCTGTTATCCCAAACCACTTGGGAGGCTGGGAATAGGAGTATTATCCTGCCAGGGCAGCCTGGAGAAAAAGGTATTCAAGGGGCTGGGAAGGTGGCTCAGTGGTAGAGCGCTTGCCTTGCATACATGAGGCTCTGGGTTCGAATCCTCAGCACCACATAAGCAGAAAAAAAAACCCAGAAGTGGCGCTGTGGCTCAAGTGGTAGAGTGCTAGCCTTGAGCTGAAGAGCTGAGGGACAGCGCCCAGGCCCAGGCCCCACTACTGGACCCCCCCCCAAAAAAAAAAAAAGAAAAAAGGTATTCAAGGCCCCACCTTCCCAAAGGGAGGCTAGATGTGGTGTGTACTTGTGATCAAAGTAGGCAGATCCCAGTTCAGGCCATCCAAGATCCTATCCTACAAATAGTGAAAAATAGGAGTGGAGGTATGGTTTGGTGGGATAATACCAGTCAAACTACAAAACTGCAAAAAACAAAAACAAAACCAAGCATAGTGTCTTTATAATTCCAACATTATGTATAATCCCAGCATTACCAAAGCTGAATTAGTAGGATTAAAAGTTTGAGGCTTGCCCCAGAAAACAAACAGAAGAAGAAAAGATATTAATTGTGGCCTTGAACTGAAGGCCTGGGGTATCGTCCCTTAGATTTTTTTTATTGGCGCTCTACTACTAAAGCCACACTTCCACTTCCAGTTTTTTGCTTGTTATTTGGAGATCAAAGTCTTGACTTTGTCTTCTTGGGCTGGCTTTGAATCATGACCCTCAGATCTCAGCCTCCTGAGTCACTAGGATTATAAGTATGAATCATCAGCACCCAGCTGCATCTTCATTTTTTTTTTCTTTTGATGCTGGTTCTGGGGCTTGAACTCAGGGTCTGGATGCTGTTCCTGATCTTTTTTGCTTAAGGCTAGTAGTACCATTTGGGAATGACTTCAGAGATTCTTAGCCCAGTTCTCTTGTGAGTAGCAATGAGGGAGAAAGGAAAATGACATGAATTGATTGTCCCTGTGTTATGTAAGTGATCAGCTGGGTGGAACCTGGCCCAGTCTTCCTAGCCCCAGATACTACTCAGAGCACTACGTTTCCAGGACCTGTATAAGACCAGTCCTTAGCTAACCACTCTTTCCAGGTTTCAGAGTCATGGATGAGAGAAATAAGAAACATATTCTACTGTACTTAACCTTGAAAGCTAACTCTTCAGGGGGTGTTAATGTCTCATGTGGTGTATTCCTGTTGTTGGTGCTTATTTTTCTGTCTCGGGGAAGGAAAGTCATTGAGATTATTGAGCTTTGGATGATATTGCTTTCAGTGCCCCATTTAATAGGAATGAAGTGCTAAGTTTAAAATTGTTTTTGCTCCATATCACAGATTTTCAGTTACCTGATGAGGACTTTGGGCCTCTGAAGCTTGAAAAACTGAAGTTCTCAGAGAAACCCATTCAACCTCTTCAATCAAAAACATATGCGAAGAAGTTTCTTAAAGAGCATCAGATTCCTCAGTGCATAGCTGCAGAAGTGAAGGAGTTGGAAGAACCTACTTTTGTTCCGGGAAGAGCACATCCTCAAACGCCAAGCCCAGAGAGCCAGACTCCCCGCAAGGGCCTTTCTTCCTCCATGGTCCTCTTCACTCCTTTAAACACTGCTGCTGCTGCTGGTGATGAGAGTACCAGGCCTGCCTCAGACCTGTGTTCCCCAGCTTTCCCCACCCTGGGCACCACTCCAGCTTCCAGCTCTCAGGCATCCTGTGAAGGAATGTCTGCCCAGGTTGATGGACCAGCTTGCTCCCTGCCCCACCTTTCTCCCTCAGAAGACACAGTCAGTCTAGCTAGGGCTCCTAAACACTTGGACAGTACAGCCGACCCTCTCAAACTGGATACCAGCCTGCATGTGCCAGGTAGGCGAGGACAGTCTGCCTGTGACCGTGACTCTGGCCCCCAAGCAACACCTGCACCCACTGAGTCATTCCCTTTCAGAGAAAATCAGCTGTGTGGAAACGCATGCCTGGCGTTGCCTGAGCATTCCACTGAACAGGTACAATCGTTTCCTTGTGAATTTTCTCTGAAAGAATGAAATGTCTTAGCGAATGTGGGCAGCATGCCTTTCTTGCCAGTGGCCTCCCGTGTGTGACGGTTTTAGCACGTTACCCTGAGGTGATTTTTATTAAGGATCAGGCACAGAGTAGAAATGCGATTAATACAAAGTCCCAAGTGACTGAAGAAAGGGGAAAGGAAATGAAATTCCTAATACTGACAAAATCACACTCACTTTTTGCCATTTTATAATGAAGTATTACTGAGAGGCAGATTTTTTTTTTTTTTTTTGTCGGTCGTGTTGTTGGTTGTGGGGGCTGAACTCTGGGCCCCTGGGCGCTGTCCCTTAAGTCTTCAGCTCAAGGCTAGCGCCCTTCCACTTGAGCCACAGCACCACTTCTGGATTTTTTTCTGTTTATGTGGTGCTGGGGAATCAAACACAGGGCGTCATGCATGAGAGGCAAGCGCTCTACCACTAAGCCAACTTCTCAGCCCGAGGCAGATTTTTTTTTTTTTTTTTTGGTAGATCATGGAACTTGAACTCTGGGCCTGTGTGCCGTGCCCCTCAGCTCTTCAGCTCAAGGCTAGCACGCTGCCACTTGAGCCACAGCGCCACTTTCGGTTTTCTGGTGGTTAATTGAAGTCTCACAGACTTTCCTGCCTGGCCTGGCTTTGAACCGGGATCCTTAGATCTCAGCCTCTTGAGTAGGATTACAGGCGTGAGCCACCGGTGCCCAGCTAAGGCAGATAATATTTTTTTTTTTTTTGGGTCTGGTCGTGGGGCCTGAACACTGGGCCTGAGCGCTGTCCCTCAGCTCTTCAGCTCAAGGCTAGTGCTCTACCACTTGAGCCACAGCGCCACTTCCGGCTTTTTTCTTTTTGCTTATGTGGTGCTGAGGAATCGAACCCAGGGCCTCAGGCATGCAAGGCAAGCGCTCTGCCACTGAGCCACCTTCCCAGCCCAAGGCAGATATTTTTTTACCTGCTGTGTCATGAAACTGAAAAGTCTGGCAATCTTTCCAACATCAAACAACCAGTATAAAACAGCAAAGATTCAAATTTGATCCTAGTATTGATTAAAACTAACTAAGTGGTGAGTCTAATTTAGCAAAAGTTTTCTTCCTTAAGGAGAATATCTTTCTTAATGGATAATTAGGAGGTTATTACAAATTTCACAAGCTGCATGGTAAATAACTAACTTCCCATATAATAAGCAAGATGGACTCTTGCTGATACATATTAAAAGAGAGAGGTGTTCTATTTCATAGGGAGCATTAAGGCCCCTGGGGAGATTCAGGGTGATTAAGAGGATTGTTAAATGTGGTCCTGTTCTGTCAGTGGTGCTGCTGCTGGTAGAGATGGTTACAGGTGAGGTCCTGCAACCTGCAGTCTGTGAAGGACGCGACACCATAGGCAAAATGCACTGATGGCCTGGCTTTTGTTTCCACAGCCCGAAACAGCACATCTTCCGGCTGGCGATGGCTTAAACCCAGGCAGTCTACAATTGCTTTCAAAGTTAAAGGTCAGGAGACTGTTGTTACTATGCATATGAATTGATCATTGAAAAGTACTCTGATCAGTTTCTGGTTCTCCTTATTATTAAATATACTGATAAATTCAGAAAACAAGTTTGAATTCCTTCTTTCTTTACTTTTGGTTGGTTGTGGGGCCTAAATTCAGAGCCTGGGCACTGTGCCAGAGCTCTTTGGCTCAAAGCTAACACTCTACCACTTTGAGCCATAGCAACACTTGTGGTTTTCTGGTAGTTAATTGGAGCCAAGATTCTCATGGACTTTTCCTGCTGGGCCAGGCTTTGAACCATTCTCCTTAGATTTTAGCCTCCTGAATAGCTATGATTACAGGCATATTTATCCACATTTGCATTTTCAGTTTTATAGTTTACATAATCCAGACTAGTGCCAAGAACAACTTAAGCTCAATAACTTAAGTAAATAACTTAGTATCTACATTTAAATCAGGCATTTTGATAGGAAAACAGCTGAGAGTCATTCATGTCTCTCTTACCCAAATAGTATAGTATTTCCAGTATTATTTGGAATGATTTATAAGAAAATGGGATGATTGCTAGTCAATTGTGGCTCCTGCCTGTAATCCTAGCTACACAAATGCTCAGGGACAGCACCCAGGACCTGAGTTCAAGCCCTAGGACTGGCATTAAAAGAAAGAAAGAAAATGTGCTGTTGTAGTATCGTACTCTTATAATACCAGCACTCAGGAGGTAGAAAAGGAGGATTGTATTGATATGTCTGAACTATATCAAAAGAATGAATGAATGAAAAAAGAATAGATGAGACAAACAGTTCTAGATTTTTTGGGGGGCGGCTTGAACTCTGGGCCTGGGCGTTGTCCCTCAGCTCAAGGCTAGCACTCTATCACTGGAGGCACAGTACCACATCAGTTTTCTGGTAGTTTGAGATAAGAGTCACGGACTTCCCTGCTTGAGCTGGCTTTGAACCGCTATCCTTAGATTTCACCTCCTGAGTAGCTAGGATTACAGGCATGAGCAACTGGTGCCTGGCCAGTTTTAGATTTTGATATAGTGAAATGTTCATCTTTTTTTTACTTTTTTTTTTCTTTTTTAAAATTTGTGCCTCTCCTGGGGCTTGAACTCAGGGCCTGGTTGCTTGAGCTTTGTGCTCAAGGCTTGTGTACCACTTGAGCCACAGTTCCACTACTCTCCTACCTAAGCTGGCTTTGAGCCTTGATCCTCAAATCTCAGCCTCCTGTGTAGCTGGGATTACAGGCATGAGCCACTGGCACCCAACTGAAATGCTCTTTTTTTTTGGGGGGGGGTGTCCAGTCGTGGGGCCTGAACTCTGGGCCTGGGCGCTGTCCCTCAGCTCTTCAGCTCAAGGCTAGCACTCTACCACTTGAGCTACAG